ATATCAACAAAACAAATTTTGGCGCGTACCGCGCTGTTGATTGCAAGGAGTGTCAAAGGGAGCTGTCAATAGAAATAACATAAAAATGGATCGTGCAAAAACAAGTGTGCGTGAATAAGGTTATATAAAATATATTATAAAAAGACAGTAATAGTTGAATAATAATTGTAATAAACTTTAAATGTCGTTTCTTTGTTTACAGGTGAGTTATATGTGTGATTCATTATTTCAGTGTTAAATAATTGTAGCGTTTTAAAATTATTTTAAAATTAAATAAAACATTTCTTTGTTTACAGAGAAACAAATTTTAGTTTATTTTATAAAGAAACCCTGAAAATATCATTATATATATAGGACAGAGACATTTGTAGAGTAGCATAACGTCATTAATATATATTTAGTGATGTAAGTATAAAATAGTCTATGTGTAAAGAAAGAAAGAAAGAAATAAAGAAAGAAAGAAAGAAAGAAAAATATTTTATTCAGTGCAATGTAAAAAATACAATATCAACAAGAGGCTGGTTTATTTCAGAGTCAGGTGCCACTGTAGCTGATAATGCTTTTATTTTCTAATATAGAAATAGTTAATAGACTTCTTTTACAAACCTATTAAGAAGAAGAGAAGAAGCAATATATATGTGTGGATATCCACACGTACATGTATTGCTTCTATTTATTTCGGCTGGTGTACATGTCGCACACTTATTATAATACTGGCTTAACTCAAAAATTACAAATTTTGTAAAGTCCACTTTGTAACTGTGGCATTAAAGTCTAATTTCAAATATTTAAAATTTCTGAATTACACCAGTATTGTACTATATATGCGATGTACTATACATATAATACATGTACACCTGTGCGAGGCCGGAGCTCGTTGTATATATATGTATATACATTGTTTAGATTTTCTCAAGCATCAAACCCTAATGTTAGTCGGATTGAGACAATCTAAACTAAGAATCTAACGATCATAATAATGTGTAATTTTTACCTTTCTATTTTCACGCATCCACTTCAGTCAGATAAAAGTAATTTTGCCAATTACACCAGTTTTTGCGAGAAACTATTATATATACGCAGCAGACAGACGATGAATTTATTGCAAATAAATTGCGAGACACAAAAGTAGAATCTACAGGAAAATAATTACATAGAATACATTTGGAAGTCGTTTCGTGATGAATGTTGATAGATTTTCAATGTAATATATACTTAAGTAGAATGGAATAACATTTATTTCAGAAAACTTAAGTAACATTTTTTGTATGACTTCATACTAGGCTATGCCTGTATCGGGGACTTATATACTGGACTTTATTAGACGTAGCTCTTAAATTATGAATGAATGAATGAATATATATATATATATATATTATATATTGTAAACGCGAAAGTTTGTGAGTACGGATGGATGTTTGTTACTCTTTCACGCAAAAACTACTGAACGGTTTTTGATGAAACTTTACAGTAATATAGCTTGTACATCAGAATAATATATAAGCTATAAATTTCACGCGCGCACTGCTAGTATATATATATTTACATTGTACATATACTAACACCCTGCTGTCTGTTAAAATATACATATTTTAAATAATAATAAACTGAGCTTTATTACGCAAACGCACAGAAAAATATGTTTCCCATGTAAAAAAGGTGGGTAATTTTTTTATTGGATGATAATGAAATCGTGCAACCGCCTGTGCGAACGGTATACGCTGGCGGGACACTAATGGAGGATGATAAGATGAGGTCAGGTTAGGCAGCTCATCGTGGTAAATTCACCAGGTTTTTATAGCAATGGTTACCAGGGGGAATAATGTGGAGGTCCTGAAAAGGTACATTGCTATTAATGAGGTTATTAGCTCACATTAGGTACTAACAATCCCCTTCTGCGGGAAAAGATCCCAAAGAAAGACCATCCTAAATTGAAATAATATATTGAAATAGATACATTTTTTGTACTGATGATATGGAGTGATGTGGTTGAAAGAGATTGTTACTAATACTAGTGGATCCTATATATTAGACTACATGACTAACAATCCCTGAATTTGAAAATATTGCACTTTTACCATTTGTCCATTATGTGTGAAACACAAGACTTTTTATTAAGTCTCTAGTGGTCTACATATGTGAATTCCATAGTCACTTACGATCCTTACCATCCATACCATCATTTGGAGTTATTATATTGTAGTAGTAAAAAAAAAAGTGTCCATGAATCAGTATTTACATTCATGACATTCATGATTCAATGAGTATTGTATAAAAAGTTTTATAAAAAGATACATTATTGATGAAAAAACCGTCTAAGAGCGTATGGCCTTATTGCTTTTTTTTTAATCCCACGTATTATATTGATGCCGGATTAGCCTAGTAATAGAAGAAGGCGATTAAATACTCATACATACATATGTGCACGGTGCATCGTGTCTTAATAAAATAAAAAGACCATCTCAGCCCGGAAGACGTTAAGCAGTTTATGAAGGAAGCGTCTCGATGCTACTTCGACTCTGCCCAATTCCACCCGAACCCGCTTGTAGTCAGTACGGTCGATTACGTACCGAGGTGTAATATCCGACATACGTTGTAACGTATGTCGGATATTACACCTCGGGCGACATTGTAATGTCGCCCGAGGCACGTTCTCATTGATCCTGACGACCCCATAACGGCAGTCAATCTCCCCACGGGTTCACCCGTTCCGTCCCGACCACACTTTTACATACAATCACGACACCGTTTTCGTCAGCGACCCCGGTTCCCCTCCAATCGATCCTCCGTCCAATTCAAACGGGGACCGCTATTACGACGGCCTGAGCCGAGGTTCGAACCCCTAGTGGTGCCCTCAGACTAAAGTCGTATCCGTCAGAGAGGAGTTGGCCTTCAGCCGTTCCATAATTCCTGTCGCGGGTTTGCAGTGCCATCTGCACTCGCCCCCTATAGTCCCTAGTGAAGCTGTAAAGACCAGCTGCGGCCAACAGCACTAGAGTAATAAAAAGGAAACGAAAAAAAACGGGAGACGTCTACTGCTGAACAAAGGCCTCCACCAAAGATCTCCATGCCGATTGGTCCTGTGCTGCTCGCATCCAATGCCTTCCAGCGATCTTAACCAGATCGTCGGTCCACTTTGCTGATAATAAAAAGATAATAATCAAAAAATATTAAATACTTTTTTATTTGTATTTTTTCATATTCATAATTTTATTGTATTAATCTGTAGGCATTTAAAATATATATAAGTATTTCTATCAGTTGTATAGTACCAAAGAGCGTCATTGCCTAGTGGTTATATACCTTGAATGACACCTAAGAGTTCGTGAGTTGAAATCGGCGTCATACAAAAATAAAATTGTGTTTTTTCTAACTGACTGAATCAAACCAAAAATTGAACCGAGAGACGACAGTAACCGGGGGTCACCACTTGCAACCATGTATTCAAAACATATCCAGCGAAATGTGGGCACATTAAGTGTTGCATTATCTACAACATCAATAGTTGACAATTCTTCAGACGAGTCCAAGAGCCGCAGCTGACCTTTACAGCTTCTCTGAACGATAGAGGGCGAATGCAGACTGCACTCCAAATTTGCGGAAGGACTTATAGAGCGGTTGGAGCCCAACTCTTGACGGATAGGGGGCATCGCTAGGCTTTCAAACGTCGGCTGATTTTCAATCGGATCGGATCGATCGGAGAGGGATATGATGGTGTGAATTATCTTGGATTATTATTATACTCATACAATATGTAGTGTCAGAGTATGAAGTGATTATTGTGGTACTGCCGCGTCATCACTGACTCCAGAGTTCTCAGAAGATATTTTTGGAGCCATTACGTTGACTTCATGTAAACAGTACGAGATAGTTTTCTTTGACGGAACGAGCGTTATTTACTGATTTTGTTACTCAGTGCAAATTGTGTATTTGATTTGTATGGTTAGGTATATTTAATAGACTAAAGTCCATAAGCTTTAGTTACAGAGATCCGAAAATCTATATCTACTTTTAGGAAAACTCAGGATCTCACCACGTTTTATTTGTCTTTATATGACTATGTTTTCTAAATTTCATGCGGTCATTCTTTTTAGGTTACTCTTAGGAAAAATCACGAGATTTTTACTGTGTTCCCGATTCGGTTTCTGAAACACTGCCGAAGTAAAAAAATATATACCCGAAAATATGTTTGACATTTTCTAACGGTAACAAAATGAAATGCAATTTAGTTTCATGCCAGTTCTTCTCAATTGTATATGTAATATAACTCAATTACTGTACTGGACAGTAGGGGACATATTAATAAAATAAACTTGACGTCAAGTTTATGTCTCAATATTTTCCCCTACTAGAGTGTACTACTTTTCCCCTAGGACATTTTACCTGCTTATGAATAAGCGGGTAAAATGTCCTACATGGATAAATGATAAGATAAACATAAGAAATGTCAAATTATAAATAGCGAATCATAGGAATTAAACTTGGAACGTTAGATATAGTTTTTGACATCTGATCTTTTTATTTTTTGTGCTTTACTATTTACTATTGGTATGCTTTGCATAATATAATAATGTGTGTCCAACCATTCTTGTAGATCACGCATACGCTTATTATGGCTTCTGCTTCATATGTGTTGTAATGTGTATTTCATATATCTTAAATTAAATCAATAATCAAAACAAATCAAATTTATTTTGCGATATGCGTAGGTGTACATTAGTTGTGATTTTAATAGTCCAATTATGTTGTCGCATGTAAAACTTAAAATTGTTTAGAAATTTAATCAATATCTAAATATATATTATATATACATATACTTAAAATGAAGAACGGAGGAATTAAAAATAAAAATGATACATTCAGAACACAGAAACCAGACGAAATGATCAACAATTAGTAGACAGGTCTGATATTTCAGTCTCTAAAGTTTCAGTTTGGCTACAGAATTAAAAACAAAGCAGTATAGATATATTCTGAAGTGCATTTTTTTTAATTTACAGAACTTATAAATTACACTCAACCGGTATACGTGTGGAGAGATGACCCCAACTCGCGGCAGAATACAATAAAGGAGATAATCGAGAGAGCCACCTCGAAGGAAGACTGGCCTCAGGTGTGTATCTATACAATTTTTTATATTATATGCTGGTCTACTTGATGGTAAGTGGTAGCCGTTGTCTTTACATATTTACGTCAACATAACGCCCGTCGCTGACCAATACCACTTTCTAGATCGAGCAAGCTAGCTTACATAATGTAATCTACTCTTTATAAATGTAGAGTTCTGGTAAAGCGCCCAAACGCGCTACTTCTGATTTGGCTTTATGGATTTGTACCTTTGCCTTTCCACTTGTGATAAAATAAGCAACTACTACTACTGCATTGCTTCTACTGAAGATTAGACTGTATAGTCTTGTACCTTTGCCTATCCACTTGTGGATAAAATATACAACTGCGCTACTTCTGTAGACTGTAACAAATGTCAGAAATTTACGCGCTTAATTGTGTGTGCTTAAAATACATACGTCATTCTTCTGATAAGTGGTCGCCCAATGGTCGAAATTAGACTATAATTAAAATTACAATTAAAATAAATTTTAAATTATAAATTAGAACATTATTAAGTTTCCATATTCAAAGACATTGTGTAACATTTTTTAAATTATTTTAATGTATTTTTAATACATAATTTAAATATTATATTGGCATTCTGCACTTCTACTCTACATAAACCAATTGTGCAAAATTCCATACTCTTCCGTCCCGCAATCCAAAGTTTTTGCTTCACGTAATAAATGTGTGCAAAATAGTTTTACTTATTTAGAAATGCCAATTAATATGAATGATTATGCTCAATGTTATTAAAGAAATTAAACATAAAAGATATTAAGCAACATATACTGTTGTTACTTGGATTCTCCATATTAAAATATGTACAATAACCTTCTAACTGGATAAATTAGGCAACGGTTCGATGGTAGCGGCCAGCGACCAATTAAGTTATTATCTTGTTACTGTAAATTGTGTTATACGACACAGGAATTAAAGCTCAAAAATAAATAATTGCAACACGCCTATTTTGTTAAAGCCGTTATATATAATAAAAAGTAAAACTGCAAAACTATTTCAAATCTATTATAGTGTTTGAAAGAAAAAGTAAAAGGGGTCTATACATAAAATTAATTAATATAGATGATTGACGATTTTATGAATACTAGTAAACATAGGTAACTAGTTTACGAGCAATTTTACGTTTCGCGCCAATTTTGGCGTATCGTTTTCGGAAGTGAATTGACAGAAAATACGTCCAAAAATCAAATAGAAAGTTCGAGATTAGAGGTAGATACTAGATTGTCACATTTCTTCTAAGATTTTAAACGCATAGAGTTTATAGAATCTTTACATACTTAGTATAAAAAAAGTCGCCGCTGCTGTCTTTTCACTGATATCTTTTAAATTACGCAATTGATTTTATTGCAGTTTTCAGCAATAGATAGAGTGATTCGAGAGGAAGGTTTTGAGTTATAATACATGTACATTCGTGTGAAGCCAGGGCGGGTAGCTGGTAAAATGAAAGCGACTTCATTTTACCAGCTACCCGCCCTGGCCCGCCCCGCTGCCTGTTCTCTTAGACCTTTTGAACTACGCAATGGATTTTAATGCAGTTTTCGCAATAGATAGATTCAAGAGGAAGGTTTATATGTATAATACATGTAGGTACCACCGTACGAAGCCGGGGCGTATAGCTAGTCATTAAATAGTATAAAACAAAGGCGCTGTCGCTGTCTGTCCGTCCCCTATGTATGATTAAATCTTTATAACTACGCAACGGATATTGAAGCGTTTTTTTAAAATAGATAGAGTGATTCAAGAGGAACGGTTATATGTATAATACATGTAGGTACAACCGTACGAAACCGGGGCGTATAGCTAGTTAAATTATAAAGTAAAGCATTATACTACTAGTTTTGTTCCTGTTGTTATAAAAGTAAAAAAAAAATAAGAATGTCCATCGTCTCTGCATTCAGGCTGTACGGTCTAAGGATCTTTGCCTGTTCCATCACTGAAAAGGAGATGGACGAATATGGAAAAAAAAACGTCTCTGCATTCGTCACAGATTATACAATACAAACGTTCGAAATTTGAATTTGAGTTCTATTTTTAATTTAGTAGAAATGCAACGAAATTGGCGGGCATCTAAATTATCGAGCACATTATAAACAAATTAATTGATAGTTTTTTGATCTGGTCTTGAGAAAATCAACTAATAATACCGTTATTTTAATAAAAGACTACATTAGTTGCTTAGAGGCCGTTATTTTAAAATCATCGTGTACACAAAAGCGCGAGATATTAGTAGATTCCGATGAGTTGTGAAATGACATGCGGAAATATATTTTAACGGTATGTTTGTTTTATTTCTTGTATGACGCAGTGTTACCACAGATAATATTATGTGTTACTATTGGTGTTGAGTTACATTACACAGATTAAAAAAGACAATGATACAGTAGATTTTATCGAGAATGTCTTCAGTAGATCTAGATAGATAATGAATAGAGATGGATTTGATATATCTACGGTTACATTAATTAGAAATATATATTGTTAAATGTAATGAACTTACTAATATTAGAAACGAGAAAGTTTGTGAGTATGGATAGATGGATGGGTTTGTGACGAATGCAGAGACGATGGACATTTTTTTTTTTACTTTTATAAAAACAGGAACAACACAAGTAGTATAATGCTTTACATTATATTTTAACAAGCTACTCGCTCCGGCTTGGCACGGGTGTATATGTATTATATATATAAACCTTCCTCTAAAATCACTCTATCTATAAAAAAACAGCTTCAAAATCCGTTGCGTAGTTTTAAAGATTAAAGCATACATAGGAACAAACAGCGACAGCGACTTTATTTTATACTATGTAATAATTGTATTACTTGTGTTATGAATTATCTATATAACTATCTTCATCTCCAGGTGCTGATATTTCCTGAAGGCACGTGCACGAATCGCTCCTGCTTGATCACCTTCAAGCCTGGTGGTTTTTACCCGGGTGTGCCGGTACAGCCCGTCATCATCAGGTATCCGAACTCCATGGACACCGTCACCTGGACTTGGGAGGGGCCTGGAGCGTGAGTTTTGTTGTAATAATAATAGCTAGTGATCTCCTAATAGTCGTAATTCGACCGTAATTAATTTAAATTATACATTTGAATATTATTAAGGCCTGTCTGTCTGTTTGTTCCGGCTGATCTCTGAAATGGCTGGACCGATTTTGACGGGATTTTTATTGGCAGGTAGCTGATGTAATAAGGAGCAACTTAGTCTACTTTTATTTTAGAAAAATAAAGTTAAATTCCACGCGGACGAAGTCGCGAGTGCAGTTTTTATTATCTATACATATAAATAAAATTGGAGTGTCTGTTTGTAATATTGAAATAACCGTTTTTTACTACATGCATATGTATATAAATACGGTACATGTACCAAAATAACATTTTTAACAATTTTTGTCTGTCTGTCTGTCTGTCTGTTTGTTCCGGCTAATCTCTAAAATGGCTGGACCGATTTTAACGAGATTTTTATTAGCAAGTAGCTGATGTAATAAGGAGTAACTTAGGCTACTTTTATTTTAGAAAAATAATGTTAAATTATTAATATTATAACATATAAAGAATGTATTTATAAGCATTGAAAAAATATTTATCCTTTCTTTCTAATGTGAACCTTATCTTGATTGCAGGCTAAAACTGTTGTGGCTGACTCTAACCCAAGTGCACAGTTCGTGCGAGATCGAGTTCCTTCCTGTGTATTATCCTAATCAAGAAGAGAAGAATGACCCGAAGTTGTACGCGAGGAACGTGAGAGACGTAATGGCTAAGTAAGTAATATCTCGTTTGGAAAGTATACACTCTATCCTGAGGAGATAAAAACCATAGCTCCTAGGAAAATCCTTCAATCCTTGTCTATGATAGATCTAGGTAGAGAACTTTGAAAAAGAGCAAAGAGCAATGACAATAGCACAAAACCCTCAATTAAAAAAAATAAAAGTAATATTTGCCATAGAGAAAATAATGTTTGGTGTATAGTAATAAAATAAATGTGTGCTTGGAGACGTAGAAATGAAACTTCCACAGACTGCCGTTGTCCTCTCTCCACCGCCACCAGCCTTTCTCTAGCTCTCACAACGCGATATATCTTCTATACATATAAATAAAATCGGAGTGTCTGTTTGTAATATTGTAATAACCGTTCTACTACATGCATATGAATATAAATACGGTACATATATCAAAATAACATTTTTTTATAATTTTTGTCTGTTTGTCTGTCTGTCTGTTTGTTCCGGCTAACCTCTGAAATGGCTGGACTGTTTTGGCAGGTAGCTCATGTACGGTAGGGAAAAAAATTATAATGTAAAAACTTAACGTTCATAAGCGGCTAAAATGTCCTACATGAATAAATGATTTTTGAATTTGAATTTGAATTAGTAATTTAGGTTACTTTTATTTTAGAAAAATAAAGTTAAATTCCACGCGGACGAAGTCGCGGGAACAGCTAGTCTACGATATAATATTATCGACTTCTCCCGCGTGGAGTAGTGGCCTTGAATAGTATAAAATATTTATGAAAACATACAAACTTTAATCCCTTGTTTTATTTTACCTTCATTAAGGGGTAATTTTTTACAAACTTTGAATGTCTATAATAACCATTTATTTATATTTAACTAGCTGGCCCGGCGAACTTCGTATCGCCTAACTGTCGATTCTTCCTGAGCAGTACGATTAGATGAGATTCGTTGCATTTCGGGCTCTTCTGTCTAAATATTTCCGCCACCTTATTAATGGAACTTGCAGACCTTACTTGACTGTTGAACATTATGGAGGCATATCTTATAAGAGGCTTGTCGAGTATAAATGAGTTACAATCACACAACACTTATTAAATTTTTCTTTTAGATTTGTAGTAATATTATAAATACATATCAATGAGACATTTACATTTCAAGTGACTTTTATTACTGATTTCTATACTAAACAATTCCCGGAACCTCTCCACTAACATTTGAACTTTATGGTATGGTATTAAAGTACAAATTGACTTTTAAGTATCAGTAAGAATTGTTTGTATGGATTACAGAAAACTGTTGTTTTTAGGCATTTTTAGGCAATTTTTTAAATTTTTCTCTCCGTAAGAACCATCCTCGTACCTCAAGGAATATTCTAAAAAAAGAATTATCGAAATCGGTTCGGTAGTTCTCGAGATTAGCGCTTACCAACACATTTAGCGATTCATTTTTATATATAAGATTAACAGCCTAAAAATAAGTTTCATACTTCTAGCTTTTACAAATATAATATATTATATATAAAATTCTCGTGTCACAGTTTTCGTTCCCATACTCCTTCGAAACGGCTTGACCGATTCTCATGAAATTTTGTGAGCGTATTGAGTAGGTCTGAGAATCGGCCAACATCTATTTTTCATCCCCCTAAATGTTAGGGCTAGTCCACCCCTAAATTATTTTATTTTATTTTTTAGACAAAATTTTTAGTTTCTATTTTTTTATGATACAACATACAAAAATACATACCATCCTAAATTTTCACCTTTCTATCATCAACCCCTATTTTTTTATAGCGTTATTAATTTATATGGCAAAACAACGTTTGTCGGGACAGCTAGTAATATATAATAATAATCTCAGGACAATTCACACAGCGCCATCTAGACCCAAGTTAAGCTAGCTAAAGCTTCAGTTACGGGTACTAGATAACTGATACATATACATAGATATTTTTTAGTAAATACATACATATTATACATAGAAAACACCCAGACTGATACAAACAATCATACTCATGAATACAAATATTTGTGCCGTGCGAGGAATCGAACCTGCGACCATCGGTCGTAAAGCGGTGTGCTAGACCGCTAGACCACCGAGGTCGTCAAATGATTTCCATACAACCTTTCATCTCTCAAGTATTAAATTATATAAATTACAGAGCACTGGGCGTCCCGGTTTTGGACTACACGTACGATGATTGTCGGCTCATCGCCCGAGCCAAGCAGCTTGGTATACCCGGCGCTGCCGCTGCACGGGAAGTCAGTGAGCTTAGGGCACAACTGGGGTAAGACGAAATCTTTTATTAATCGTTTTAACACAATATGAACTGTTGTTTCCTGCAGGTTTAATCTGGAGCAGGGATGTTGCGGATGGAATTTTTCTCACATCCGCGGATGCAGATTTTTTTGCGTTCACATCTGCAGATGCGGATGCGGATCTAGATTTTATTTATTTTTATTTACAATACAATTATTCTCTGCACCACCCATGGTTGACTGGTAGATAATGCCGCATAGTGTTAAGTCCGCAATATGTACTTTCAATTATGTGCATTAAAGTTTTAATAAATAAATAAATACAAAGTGTTACATAGGTGAGAAATAATGTAACAAGAATTGAATGGTTTTTTATATTTTTATACAATACGATAATGTTTAATTTACGGTAAACAAATGATACACAATAACAAACACGTCGAAACTTGTCATCGAACGAAACTTCGCTCCTATCGGTCAATGAACACGCGCTGATCGCCGCCTCCACGCAATTTCTTTCTCATGCGGCATCCGCATCCGCATGCAATTCCGCATCCATTATTGCGGATGCATAAGTGGTTGTGGATGTTAAATTGATGCGGAAGTTCTGCATTTGCGGATGCAGATGCGAATATCTGCGACATCCCTGCTCTGGAGCATGAACTCAATAGTTAGTTAATAGTTAGTCAACAATTATAAGCTCGATGTTTGAATACAGTACTCTACAAATATAAGATTTGATTGATTGATTGATCATTATAGGTAACACCATAACGAATATCCTTTCCAGAGTGCCCCAATCACAATTGGAGATACAAGCTCGATATTAGAATACAGTATTCTACAAATATAAGATTTGATTGATTGATTGATCATTATAGGTAACACCATAACGAATATCCTTTCCAGAGTGCCCCAGTCACAATTGGAGATACAAGCTCGATATTAGAATACAGTATTCTACAAATATAAGATTTGATTGATTGATCATTATAGGTAACACCATAACGAATATCCTTTCCAGAGTGCCCCAGTCACAATTGGAGCTACAAACTCGATGTGTGGCCGCGGGAGACTGGGTGACGCGCGAGCAGTTCGTTCAACGGCTTGGCGTTCCCATTATGACCACAGCTTCCATACAAGCCGAACGACTCTTCCAAATATTTGAACAGGTATCACTGAACGTGCTGTACTGTTATTACTACTGTTAGAATTCACATCATTATTGTAGAAAAAATTCGATATTTTAAAAATATATTAAAAGAAGGTAGTTTGTTTTTAGTACTAATGAAGTACCCAATGTAAAGATTATTACGAATATTGTAAATAGCGCCATCTAGTATTTATAGACCAACCTACTACACTGACTTTGGTCTATAAATACGGAGGTCGGTAGTTGAATAATCCTCATTCGTTGCGTGAGCCGCGGCATTCAGTCGACGAGCGCAGAGCGTGCCAGTTGTGTTTTGGATATTAAAGTGAATTGTATTAGCAATGGGTTTATCCCGGTCTTAGTAGGGCCTGGGGGGAAGCTGCAAGTAGTGAAGGTGAGTGTTAATGCATTCAAAAAGGGCCTTTTAAACCTACACCCGTGTCACAAGTCACGGGCGCTACTTGGGGTTTCCCTTGCGGTAGCCGGCTTCAAAGCCTCAGTCATCATCTTATACAAGTGCTTCTTACACTACTGAGAATGAATAACCTATAGATTATTAATTCTATATCAAATGAAACTAATAATCAAATCTAATAAGTAATTAAAAGAAAAAATCATGTTTGAGCCTTTTATTGAGAAGAGGGTCTTTATGTTGTAATGAAACTCGGAGATTCCAAGCTAGTTTTTTTATTTACTTGATAGTGGTTTACAATGGTTGCGTATGATAATGCGTATGCGATCGTTGACAGATTTTGAATATGAATTTAAACGGTTAGCGTATTGTCTCTGGCCCGGTAAAATACCGACGTTGTAGCGTTGCTATACAAAAAATAATATTTGGGCCACATATAGTGCAACCGCGCCTGAACTATCATTCATTCGAGATTTAAGATGATTTATAAAATATGTATGATTACATAAAGAGATGTTTGTATAACGTGTCTTTATAGAACGAATTTGTCCGAAACAGTGTCCATTGAAATAAAATGATAGAAAAGGATATGTAAGTTTGTTAAAAATTAAATACTTATAATGAATAATATATTTATTAAAAATAACGAGATGACTGCGAATAGGGATGAATGGAAGAGAAAAATATATTACGACGACAAGAATAAATAAATAAAAATATTAATATTACAAAACAAATAATAGTGATAAGAAAGAAGCTGATGATGAATGAATAATATATTTATTTGGACAAGGATTAATATGATGTTTATAAAAACATCTTTGCAAATGTTTTTATAATGTACTAGCTGTCCCGGCAAACGTTGTTTTGCCATATAAATTAATAACGCTATAAAAAAATAGGGCTTGATGATAGAAGGGTGAAAATTTAGGATTGTATGTATTTTTGTATGTTGTATCATAAAAAAAAGAAACTAAAAATTTTGTCTAAAATATAAAAAAAATTTAGGGGTGGACTACCCCTACTAACTAACCGTTTACCCAGTGCACACTGCTCAAGCACTCGAAATTAATATTTTCGCTACAGTTTTCACTGCTGCTCTGCTCCTATGGGTCGTAGCGTGATATTACAGGGCCTATAACACTTGGGGATGTATACCTTACTAACAATGAATTTTTAAAATCGGATCAGCAGAACCGGAGATTACCTCGAACAAACAAACATATAAACCTTTCCTCTTTATAATATTAGTATATATGTATGTATGTACAGCGAGGTACTGGTATGGCTCGCTGGTCGGACTACATGCTGTGCGCGGCGTTCCTCTCACTGCAGCATGCGCCGCTGCATCACCTCATCTGCATTGCATTCAAGGTCAGCCAACATTCATGTTATGGTTCTTTGTAACTTTTTTAATACATTTGGCACACACATACACACAGATAATGTTAACAAGTAACATAGACAAGGCCTTATTTAAAAACAAAATTATTGTAATACAAAAAAAACTCAAATTAGACAGTAAATAGTCGCTGGTAACAGCTATATATATGTATATATATATAATACAATTTTAACTCCCATAAAATGTCTTTTGTATATAAACATTCAACATGCATTTCATTTATAAAAGACTAGACTATACTTATTATTATTATTATATTTTTTAAAATTGTAGCCTACGTGTTTCCTGATATATTATATAAGCTATATTACTGTAAAGAATCATCAAAATCCGTTCAGTAGTTTTTGCGTGAGAGAGTCACCAACATCCATTCAACCATCCGTCCATACTTGCAAACTTTCGTGTTGATGATATTAAAAGATAACGTAACATTTCCAGCTGTACGACAGTGGCTTCAGCCGACTGAACCAGGCCAGTTTTGAGGAGTTGGCCACCAAGTGTCTGGGCATGTGCCAGGAGGACGCCCATCATCTGTTCCGACAGATCGACAGTGATGAGAAGGGCTGTATCACTTACGGTGAGAACATTTTTTTGTTTAAATGGAATAGTAACTAGGCCATCTGTTGGTAGTGGTAACCGTCGCCTATGTACATGAACATCATCTGATGGCCTCGGTGGTCTAGTGGCTTAGAACTGTACTACTTTACTTCCGATGGTCGCGGGTTCATTCCTTGCACGGTACAAACATTTGTGTTCATAAGCATGATTGTTTGCTACTGATCTGGGTGTTTTCTATGTGTATTATGTATGTATTTACAAAAAATATGCAATATTTATATCAATTGTCTAGTACCCATAACACAAGCTCTGCTTACTTTAGTACTAGATGTCGTTGTGTGAATCGAGGGATATTATTATAAGTAAATATAATATTTGCGGTATCACTCATACGTTGCCATTCCAGAGCAGTATGATATAACACTCTTATCCTGTAATTTCACTGCCTAATCTTACCCTACTACCGATACTCAGCTTACAAAGCGAGCTGCTTGTCGGCTGAAATAGGTGAGACTGAGGTATCCACGCAGAAAACTTTTTAGTCTACCCCTGGTGATATACTGTTTTATAGAAACTGGTGTGGTATTTTTTACTGATCATACCGAAATGATTCACCCGCCTGCGCTAACAGTTTACGCTGTCAGGACACCAGTGGAAGATAACAAAATAAGCATGATCAGATCAGCCTATCTTGGTAAATTACAATTTTTCATGATGGTTTCCAGAGGGAACCGCGTGGATGTCCACCTGACATGGTAAATTGCTATCAATGAGGTTATTACTCAATATTACCAACAATTCTTTTTCCCCCAATCTGGTGTGACTAAAGTTGGAAATGCCTGACTGCCCCATCTGGGATTTCAGTCGTGAAGATATTTAACTGTTTCGAATTCTGTCCACAGATGAATTCATGTCCTACGCACAGAAGCGACCGGAGCTATCATTCATATTCGCCAGCGACGCGACACAGCAAAAGTCCAAAAGTCAGTGAGGGAAGGTTACCACGTGTAGCCCACGTGCCTCCCACGTGCACCCAGCTGGTGGCACACGTGCCCACCACGTGTTGGAAATTCCGCGTTAGTATTACAGATCAGTATTCCATGAACAGTGCTGTGTTTGGAATTGTGGATGACATTTTGAGATTCTATGTAAGTTGATTACATGTTAAGCATTCAGATGGTGGAAACAAACTTGGTTGTCTCTTGTAACTACGATTGATTACGTTACTTAGGACCCAAATGTAACTTTAAGTTTGTGGATAGTACTCTCTGGACTCGGGCCGCTAAATTCTTACACTTTACAAAGGAGGTCAAAAACCTCGTATGTTGGTTCAATGGAAATTATATAGAGTGGAATAGAAATAACCTTTATTCAAATAAACTTAATACAAGCATTTTTGAATGGTCACTTTATTTTATTCTTCTCATTCGGAACGCAGATTTATCACAAGAAGGACGAATAAGACACTTGCGTGTAGCTCTTTTAAATAAATATTGTTCACGATCACATTTTTAGGTTTTTTTTAAATAAAACTGCCACATACGTTGACATATATAAATGAATAATTACTTAAGTAACAAAGTAGATCAGTCATAGATATATTATATAATAATTTGTACTATTAGGTTTGTTACTACGCAGTATAAATTAACTAGATTAAGTGTAGGTACAGTTGATATATCTGCTAATAATGGACTTGTATGAAAATTCTCGACCGGTTATCATTCCCAAGCGTTAGTTGGTTACTATCGTAAAGTAATGGGTATGAATGAAGATATGTTATGGAAGGTGTTATATGGATGTGGATGTGGATGGTTATAAGGGCAGAAGGCCGAAAAAGAGATGGATGGACAGAGTGAAAGATGATATGGCAAGAAAGGGAGCAAAAAACGAGATGACTGCGAACAGGGATGAATGGAAGAGAAAAACATATTACCCCGACACCAAATAAATGGGATAAGAAAGAAGCAGATGATTATGAGGTTGGTCACTCTCAGTCTGTTTGAGATCAAACCTACGACCCTTACAATGCCATCTGAAGTGTACGTTCTAGTAAATCACCCATCGGCCTGAATCCAAGGAGCCCTCTACACAAGGAATTAGAATTTCGTTATATTCCCTATGAGATTAATATTTTAATCAGTGAATTAATTCAATAATTTATTTTGTTCATTTAATAATTGTAATTGAAATTTTATTAATCATGTTATTCACATTAATCAGTGAAATAAATTATTAATTTATTTAATTAATTTAAGAATTATATTTGATTATTATTCAAAAATATTATTATGTTATCACCATTAAGATTATTAAATAAAAGTTCAAAGAATGGAAGTCATTAGAAATTTATTCTATCTCCTATGAGATTAATATTTTATAATCGTATTAATCATTGGAATAAATTATATAATTTATTTATATTATTTAAGCAATTATTGTGCAAATTTCGTTTAACGACGAGTTTTTTATTTAATATTAATGATAATTAAAAGAACAATATTAATAATTGTTAATAATATTTATTTACGAATCTCAATTGTTCGAGTCGTGTATATGGAGTTTGTAAAAATTGGATGAGACAGAAAAAAATATGTATGGTTTCGACATTACTCATATAAAGGAAGTTCGTTAATATTTTTTATAATATATCTATATATGTCTATTGCAACATGCAAAAATACGATAAATCTGTCTTTAAATATCTGTAATTATTATTAAATAATTATATTAATTAAATATCTCAATTTTTATATTTATAAGTACTTGTACACAGTTAGGTACATTGGTTTTTATATAGTTACTATGTACTTAGTGAATTTGCAACCACTCCACGAAATTAAAGTAACTCATAAATATAAAACAAACAATTTTAAATCCCTTCCGAGATTAGATTAGATTAGATACGATAGGAGATTATTCTTGAACTTAATCTCGCCTTATGTATGTCTGAATATATATGTAAGTATTATAGTTACAATAAGATATATCACGGTCGGTGTAATCTTCCAAACTTTTTTCACTGAATTTTCTACGAAATACACATAGTGCTATTGTTAGCACATTCTTGCAAAGTAAGTCAATTTTATAAAAAAATATAGTTGACGCAATCATTGAATAATCATAGAAATGTACAAAATTATATTTATATTTACTTCATTTATGTTTCATCCTTTGTGTGATAAACAAGGGTTGAAATATAAATTATATTTATATTTACTTCATTTATGTTTCATCCTTTCTATGACAAGGGTTGAAATATAAATGAAAAGTAAGTTCTGTTTGAACGGTCTATATTTTTCAGTTGTTTTGTGTTCGAACATACATATGTTACGTACATTATTTGGCTATTCATGGAACTAGAATTTTTTTTTTTCTAGTAGTAGATGAAATATTTCATATTTTATTTGTATGGTCTTTTACATGAATATGTTATTATTTTTAAAATTTATTTTTTGTATTTTGTGAACTAAAATACTATATATATGTCATTTCACTCTCTCGACAATTACCATTAAAATATTTATCCCATTATAAATTGTATTACACACATCTTTACTTCCGATGGTTGCGCGTTCGATTCCTTGCACTGTGCAAACATTTGTATTCATGAATATAATTGTTTGTATCGGTCTGGGTGTTTTCTATGTACATTATGTATGTATTTATAAAAATATATCTAAGTATTTATATCAGCTGTCTAGTATCCATAACACAAGCTCTCAAGTTGTGGGACTGGATGACGCTGTGTTAATTGTCCCTGGACAAATAACCCATTGGGTTATTTATTATTAATGTTTCTATAACAAATTTGACTATGTTAGTGCTTTTTAAACCATTTGGTATGTGATAATTGTAAGCGAGCTCTGTTAGTAACTAAGTAAATGTACGTAGTGAATTTAGTACAAATTATTTTAACCAGTATCTTAGTAATTTAGTAATTTTACATTGACATAAACTATAAAGAATTGAGATAAGAGAAAATATTATTTTCGTCATAGATAGACGTTGATTAGAAATATGTTATATACTAATTTAAATATTCTAACGAACTTGGTTTAAAAAGTTTGAGAAACACTGTCTTTAAAAATGTGTGTACTTAAGTTTTAACACACTTTTCGTAGCGCAGCCGGTTAAAAGTTTGAATTCCACTGTCTTTAAATATGTGTGTATTTAAGTTTTAATACACTTTTTGTAAAGCAGTCGCTCTAAAAAGTTTGAGAACCACTGTCTATTCGTTTACTTTATATCAGATGTAATGAGGTACTGGTTAAAATAATGTTAATTGAGATTACTAATTGTAATGTTATGTGTAAATAATTGTTTTCATTTATTAAGTCAATTGAGGCAAAAGTTTATTATTAAGATTTGATCGTGTTTTAAATAAGTCTTCCTATAGTATTTTAATATTCATATCTATCCTATCTATTATATATATACATCTGTATTTGTGGTCTAGCCTCAGTGCTCTAGTGGTTAAGCACAGCGCTTTACTACTGTTGGTCGCAGGTTCGATATCTCGCACGGTACAAACGGTATTCATGAGTATGATTGTTTGTATCAGTCTGGGTGTTTTCTATGTATATTATGCATGTCAAAAATGACAGTAAAAATATTAGTTGTCTAGTACCCATAACACAAGATCTGCTTAGCTTGGAACTAAGTAACAAGCACTTGGAATGTATTTTCCATATTTATATATGTCTGATGTTTAAAAAAAAAAATTAAGTCGATAATATATTAATTCGCTGTATACTTCTTTATTTTTAAATATAGAAATTTCCGTGATTATTTTGTTATACCAACCATAGACACATTGTATCGATGACGACAAAACTATGTAAAAACAAAGTGATTACTTGCTCAGTGGGAATTGTATTTGTATGTTTGTGTGTATGATTAATGTTTTTATTATAATAGTTATGAGCATTATGATTATGAATGTTAAATAGATTAACAATTAGAAGGACCGATATTTACATTTCAATTTTAACACCTGTTTAAAAGTAGCTACGTAGTTTCAGAATAAATTTAGTTCGTTGGCTAGTTTATAAGCAATTAAATGCATCCAAGAGATATTATTCTTAGAGCTAACAATGTTTTTAATTCCTCCGATCCCTCAAAAAGTATTTCATCTATATTATTTTCATACGCTGCATATTTTTTATTTTTAAACATGGAACGTTTTGGCATTATTTCGTTGTCGCCAACCATAAACAAACTTTTTGTTCATAATAACAATGAAAATATATTTGTGTTCTTGTTTGTATTCGTTAATATTTATGTATATTATAATTATGTATGTTAAATAATAAAATAGATTATTCCTTCCATTTTAACATCTGTGTACTTAGTTTGTTGAACCTCTATAAGCAATTAAAAAAATAGTTTTAGTCATTATTTAAAATAAATGTTTAAATAATATTTCATGTGGCTTAATTCTAGTATAGACAGTATAGTTAGTAATAGTTTGTTTTGTTATTGTAATAACATTCCTTTGTTATAGTAATTTATTCTTTATTTATATTGATGTAAGCTTTATGTAATTAAATTAGATAATACTTGATAATATTGTTTTTTTACCTTCATATACTATTTTTTGTCTAAACTTAAAAAATAGTTTTTGATATCATCAATATGCAAGAAATGATACATAGACCGTGGGGCACTATAATAAGTACAAACAAATCTATAGTATTTAAAATGTTAGTAACTCATAATTCATCACATCATCATCATCATTCATAATTTTATAGCCACTCTCTTGTCGGTGGAGCCCTGGCCACTTTGCACGATCTTCAACAATGCTCTTTAAATGTTAATATGACACGACTCCAATTTTGTCTTAAATTTGCTTTATGTAATTGTGCTTTCCTCTTCCCCTTGCCTTCTTTTCTTCTATTTTTCCCTCTATGTTCATAAATTCATCGTGCCGTATCAAGTATCCTAACCACTTAACATTTTCCCTTTTTTTGTTTAATTCCGCTACGATTATCATGATCGAGACCAGGTTAATGGTAGCGGAATTAAACTAGTCACACATGTTAATGGTAGCGGAATTAAACTAGTCACACATGTTAATGGTAGCGGAATTAAACTAGTCACACATGTTAATGGTAGCGGAATTAAACTAGTCACACATGTTAATGGTAGCGGAATTAAACTAGTCACACATGTTAATGGTAGCGGAATTAAACTAGTCACACATGTTAATGGTATCGGAATTAAACTAGTCACACATGTTAATGGTAGCGGAATTAAACTAGTCACACATGTTAATGGTAGCGGAATTAAACTAGTCACACATGTTAATGGTAGCGGAATTACACTAGTCACACATGATAATGGTAGCGGAATTAAACTAGTCACACATGTTAATGGGAGCGGAATTAAACTAGTCACACATGTTAATGGTAACGGAATTAAACTAGTAACACATGTTAATGGTAGCGGAATTATACTAGTCACACATGTTAATGGGAGCGGAATTAAACTAGTCACACATGTTAATGGTAACGGAATTAAACTAGTCACACATGTTAATGGTAACGGAATTAAACTAGTCACACATGTTAATGGTAACGGAATTAAACTAGTAACACATGTTAATGGTAGCGGAATTATACTAGTCACACATGTTAATGGGAGCGGAATTAAACTAGTCACACATGTTAATGGTAACGGAATTAAACTAGTCACACATGTTAATGGTAACGGAATTAAACTAGTCACACATGTTAATGGTAGCGGAATTATACTAGTCACACATGTTAATGGGAGCGGAATTAAACTAGTCACACATGTTAATGGTAACGGAATTAAACTAGTCACACATGTTAATGGTAACGGAATTAAACTAGTCACACATGTTAATGGGAGCGGAATTAAACTAGTCACACATGTTAATGGTAGCGGAATTAAACTAGTCACACATGTTAATGGTAGCGGAATTAAACAAAATAAATCCACACGTAATAATTAGCTACCAGTTCCCATTCCTAGAGCTTTCAGCTTATCCTTCGCTTGGTGGACAAGTGAAAGCCACCTGTTGTGGTACTGGAACATTTTATCCGTCATCTGTTCTACATCCACGTAACAAGCCAAAATCTTCTCATATAACACTAGATACCATAAGAAATGTGTTTTCCTTGGAAACCTTTCCATTGTCGCGTACATGTTTTCCATCTTCGTTTTTATTTGCATCATGGCGCCGAACATTACTGCTATATTGTAGCTAATATCGTTTTTATATTTATCTCTGAATGGTTTGGTCTCCAGCATCCGATACCTGGTGGCGTAAATAGATTGCTTCATCAGATCGAAGGCCTTGTCTGAAAAGACGTTCTTGTCATGAAGTGCTTCATGTCTTCGTGTATTGTTCGCTTCATAATGGTCCTTGATTGCGTCGATGATCTTCTGTACGCTTCCTCTATCTAAAATGCTAACGTCCAAGTGCTGGATATTTATTTCGTTTGGAGGTTCAGTGTGGTTACCAAATAAATAACTGAATACAGACCCTTCAAATTCAGTACGGTTCATTACGCCAGTGAGAATTTCATCTAGTACCTCAGCATGTGGAACTTCAGGCGTTGCTGGTGCCATGCTAAGTGTGAGCGCTGCGAAATATTATTTTAAACTAATTTTATTTACAAAAGTATGGTAAATTTTGAACAAAGTCGTCTTTGTGATCTCAAGATTTTCAACTACAGAGAAGGCAGTGAAATTACAGAGTACGGAGCCATGACTACTTTGATCTATGAGCGGTACATGTATATAGGAGATGGTTACCACTTACCACTTACCATAGGGCGGACCATCTACTTGTACTGCCATTCCAGTTAATAAAGAAAACGTAATTATCATTAGATATAACTTATACTTATAACTTATACATAGTATATGAATTGCTACACATATATGTTCTTAGAATTATGATATGTACTAAATACTAAAAAACAAATATTCATAATTAGTCTTGAACCAAGTCAAACAATCTGGATGCGTTTATGTTTTAATGAAATACACAAACAAGCAAACAATTCTGTTTGTTTGAAAAAAAAAACAGTTTTGCTGTTGAGTATACAATTTGTCAGTTTTAGTTTCAAACTACATATAATACATATATGCTTAGTTTAACAGATAACAAATTAATTACTTAATACTATATATATTATACAAGCTGTGCTCACTGTTTCACTAGCGTGAAATTTATAGCTTATATGTTATTCTGATGATATATCACTGTAAAATTTCAACAAAATCTGCTCAGTAGTTTCAGCGTGCAAGAAACATTCATCTATACTCACAATGTTAATAAGATATGCATCGAATCAGTAGAACACGACAGTACAACGAACGAAATCGAAAAATAATTCAAACTCACAAACTTTACCTCTTTCTAAAGTTATACATTTTATATACATTAGTATAGATATTATTATATTAATATAAATTACTCACAAAGTATTAGTGATGTTGCCAATAGAGACATTGTTCTTTTCTCATTCAGACAGCGGTCATAGAGCAGTATATTTTACTGTAGGTGTTTTTTTTTTACAAAGTTTTATCAAACAATTAATTATTCTTAAAGCTGTAATGTTGTTATGTACATTTTATAGAGGTATTAAAGTACTTACTCATAATTAAAAAATCAATTATGAAATCTAATAAACAGTCTAAAAATATTGGATTAGTGCAGCTGTGTTCGCAAATCCGTATTTGCGGCATTGTATTGAAGTATAGCTATACTATACAGGAGTCGCTTCTGTATTGGAAGCATCAGTTACAAATGGGTGGTCTAGTGTTGAATATTGCGAAAACCCAGTACATGGCTATGAATGTGCCAGATACCTCTGATAACAGTCCAATTTCCATTGAAGGGCAAATGATCACCATGTGTGATCAATATAAGTATCTGGGAAGTATAATGCACAACTCCGGGAATATAGAATGCAATATTCAACACCGAATAGCTGCAGCGTGGCTTAAATGGCGAGAAGTGACTGGTGTTACATGCGACAAGAGAATGCCTGTTAAACTCAAAGGGTTAATTTATAAAACAATTATAAGAGCCGTTCTTATGTATGGCAGTGAAATATGGCCCGTAACCCAAAAGAACGTGCATACTATCCAAGTTGCCGAAATGAAGATGCTGAGGTGGATGTGCGGTATAACCAGGCTCGATAAAATCCGCAACGAGTACGTACGAGGAAGCCTGGCTGTTCGCGACATTGCTGAAAAAATGCAGGAAAGTAGGCTGCGATGGTATGGACACGTGAAGAGAAAGCCGCCTGATTACGTCGGAAACCTGGTACTGCAACTTTCTATTCCTGGTCGAAGGGGCAGAGGCAGACCAAGGAAGGGATGGGAAGATGTTGTTGTTAGGGACATGATAGAGTGTGAGGTCTCTGAAGACGATGTCCGGGACAGGATAAAGTGGCGGACAAAAATAGGGAAAGCTGACCCCACGACCATGTGGGATATATAGCCAGGAAGAGAGAGAGAGTATTGAAGTATAGCTATACTTCAACTCCTCCTGATATATGTGTTATTCAGCTGAATAACACATATATCAGGAGGAGTGTGCTGAGGAATTGTTCAGATTAATATCAGCTGCTGACTTTCACCATCGTACCACCCGCCAGAAACTAAAATACCATCCTGATCATCTGGATGAATGGCGGTCCTCCACAGTACGGTTTTCTAGAAACTTGCCACGCACAACCACATTGTGGAATCATCTATTTCCGAATCAATACGATATTGAAACCTTTAAGAAAAGAGCTTATTCCTATATTTTATTTTATTCCTATCCCCTGTGTTATAATTATGAGAATACTTACCTACATCCCAACATTCTTCAAGCAGTCCACATCCTTTTTTACCAACATTAGGAGTGTACTGCAATCTTCAAAAAGAACGTTAAAAGGTTTTTTGCAACTAGAAAAAGTGCACACGATATCCATGTTCCTATATGTTGGGATGTAAGTATTTTCATAATTATAACACAATATTTTTAAGTTTTTTAACGGGTGCTGCTGGGGGACTGGGACTGGTCCGCTCTAATCACTATGACTGATTTCCTCTTATTAATTGTTTAACCAGTTGGTTGTATATTTAATACTTTTTCTATTTGAGTTTTCAGTTGAATTAGTGCTAATTGGTAGTTTGTATTCACACACTTAAACTTAAACATGTAAAGTAAGAAAAAAATTATTTAAAAGAGAAACACGCAAGTGTCTTGCTCGTTCTTCTTGTGATGGTGTCATCACAAGAAGCTATCCGAATGACCGGTAGACTAAAAAAAATGTGATGACTATTCAAAAGGGCTTCAATGTAAGATTATTTGAATAAATGATTTTCTATTATATTCTATTCTATTCTAATCTGTGCTCAGGTCGTGGCGACGTAATTTTGATCACAATGATCACAATTTGAATGAGACGGGAGATCTATCGAAGGGGTATGGCCATAGTATCTGAATACATCGTCATCTATCAGCTTTATCAAGCATATTACGAGCGGAATAGACTCAACATGCTTTATTAAATCCACTTTACTAACAACCGACTTATCTGTAAAGCGACAGAGCGCCTTTTGTTACTAGAAAAGTAAACTTTAGAACAATGGAACTGAGTAGAAAATATTCTTACACTGTTTTAAAGGCACATTATTCAAAGTCACATTATATAGATAGATAAAACCTTTATTGGAAACATTAAAAAATTATAATGAATAGACAAAACAACATATATATATATATTCCTAGAGTAACATAAGCTATACATTAAGTTAATGTTATTATATATTGAATGAAATAAGTCTTCCTTTCCTCTTGGAATCGTTTATTATTTTATCCTTACTAATCCTTACTAATATAATATGGTAAATGCGAAAGTAACTCTGTGTGTCTGTCTGTCTCGCTATCACGTTAAAACTACTGAGCCGATTTAAATGAAATTTAGTACACATATAGACTACAACCTGAGAAAGGACATAAGCTACTTTTTAATCCGAAAAAAGGGTTGTAAGGGGTTGAAAGGGGAGATGAAAGGTTCTATGTAAGTATTGACAATATACGCGGACGAAGTCGCGGGCACATCTAGTATTTTAGAATGTACAAACATAGGTACAAACTAGGATGTTGCGTTTATTTGAATTGTGTTGAAGTGACGCCGTTTGTCGCCAAAATCATGCCTTTAAATTTATTTGTGACCAGTCGCCAATAGATGGCGCGAACATATATTATGAAATATTCTCTTATCATATGTGATGGTGTGATAATTAATTTATATTGAAATATATTCTATAAAAACGTCATTCTAATGCCTCCTGTGAGCGTGAAAGCTTCACACACAAACAGATTAACAGATTTTCGCATCATCACGATTACACGTAAATGTAAGTTTAAAAATATATTTTATTCCTTCACTTCTTGCCACGATGGGGTGTTGTCACCGTAATGGTCATAGGCGATGTAGGCTCGTGCTGGTCTTGATGTTTTCCATCCATTCTGACCAACACCCACCACAGATATAGAAAATCAACGTGGTACCTTATAGCCCTCTGATGACCAGACAGCGAATAGTCAGAATCGCTAGCCGTGTTTCTATTCTTGAGCAACGTTATGTATATATCTAAAAGTTTCCTACATATTCTCCTAAGCCTCTTATATAGAAATGCTATACGGTAGCCAGTGTCCCTTCGATTAAAGTATTTAGAAGATTCTAGACGTTTTATTTTGAATCTTGCCATGTATATTATTTGTAGCATCATATCCAAAGTTTTTAGCTTAAATGCTATGGTAGACGCTTCGCTCCATCCGTACCATATATTTGGGATATAAAATCTTCTAGTATCATTCCTAACTAACGTACCATTGGTGACAGTATTGTTATCAACGTCTCTCAATTTCCCCGTCATTTCTTTTTCAAACATCTCCATTTTCCTTTTAAATTTGTTTACATCGAGCTTTTCTATATCGAGATTTATATTTAGTGTCTTTACATTGGCTGGTAAATTAGTTTCATTGTTTTTTAAAATGGAGAACATGTCTTGTATGTTCGGATAATCAGTGTTGTCTAATGACTCGCATGAAATGAAAAATGCATCTGTGAACAGATGTCATGATGAAACATAAAATTTTAGACTATGCAGACTTTATCATACGACATTTCAGTAATTACGTCTTATATAGAAATATTTTTAATCAATCAATCATACAATGCATTCAGGCATAGACAGATAATGTATGTAATCCATAATGCTGTACATGTATATAGGAGACGGTTACCACATACCATCATTATTGTGGTAAATAGTAATATTAGGTGTTTTCCATTCCAATTGCAAGAAAAAGCATAGTTTATATATTGTAGGTTGGGACCTCGGTGGTTTAGTGGTTTAGCACACCGCTTTACTTCCGATGGTCGCGGGTTCGATTTCTCGCACGGGAAACATTTGTATTCATGAGTATGATTGTGTCGGTTTGGGTGTTTTCTATGTATAATATGTATGTATTTACGAAAAAGAATATCTATGTATTTTTATTAGTTATCTACTACCCATAAAACAGGCTTTAGTTAGCTAGCTAGGGTCTAGATGGAGTTGTGTAAATTATCTTAAAATTATTATTATTATATATTCAGACATATTTTAATTTTTTTTTTGAGATGAAAGCTATCCGATAAAATTTATTACTAGTATTTACATAACCTAATTGTACAATTAAGAACCTAAAATTAAAAAGCTAACAAAAATTTATATTAATTACAATGTTAAAATTAAACTTACACGAAATGAGCAATAAGAATTGCATAGTACTGCCAGATTTTCATTTGTTTTCATTTGATCGTTAATGTAGCGATATTTCGCTGATACGCGTAATTGTAATAAAATTAAAATTTAGATTTTTAATACGTACTAGATGAAATAACAAAATATACATATCACGCTTGATTGGTTTAATGGAAAGGAAAACATATTTAAACTTCTAACATGTGTTACTTTGATATATTTTTTTTATTGATGATAGAAATAGAAATAATCTTTATTCAAATTAACTTAATATAAGCACTTTTGAATAGTCAAGTTTTTTTATTGTACCACTTATTCGGAATGCAGATTCATCACAAGAAGAATAAGCAAGAAACTTGTGTGTTGCTCTTTTAAATAAATATTGATTTACTTATATTTAATTAAAAACAAGGATTAGGCATGCGACAATCAACATAGAAACCGCTACGCACTTAATCTCTGTTCAATCAGATAACATTGTCAGTGCTATGAATTTTAAGTTAGATATTTTCTACTAAAACATTATTATCATTTATAAATTCTTCAATTTTATAATAAGCTTTTTTACAAAGAAAATATTTTATGACACATTTGAATTTTTTTCTGGCAAATTGACTACAGACTCTGGGAATTTGTTGTAAAACCTTACGCAATTTCTACTTACCTTTACTGACTTTCGCCAAACGGCACTTAAGTAAAACTAGTTTGTTGACATTACGTAAGCTTTTATTAGTGTAATCACCTACTTTTTTAAAACTGTTTTTCCTGGCATACATAATATTTTCGTAGATTTATTGAGAAGCAACGGTGAGGATAACGGTTTACGCTGGCGGGGTACCAGTGGAGGATGATAAGATGAACATGAGGTCAGGTCAGTTAGCCCATCGTGACATATTTACCAGAAATTTATCACAATGGTTTCCAGGGGGAACCGCGTGGAGGTCAATCTGACATGGTACATTGCTAGTAATGGGGTCGAGAGTCCACATTACCAACAATGCTTTTCCCCCCTACTTTGATATTGTACGCAGTCAAGCAATGGTAATAAGTAAAAAGCTGTACTTATAATTTCGGGATACTGGCAAGTTTGACAGAGCAGCAGCGGTTTGATAGAAAGTGGCGTCTACCGTTCTATATTATAAACTAAATATTACCCGCGACTTCGTCCGCGTGGAATTTAACTTTATTTATTATTTTTTTAATCTAGGGTGTCATAGGTTTAATCTAGCAAACATGTTTACAGCCCATATAATGGAAAACGGTAACCAATAGTCTATGAGCAACACACAAGTTTCTTGCTTATTCTTCTTGTGATTAATCTGCATTCTGAATAAGCGGTAGAATCAAAAAACTTGACTATTCAAAAGTGCTTATATTAAATTTATTTGAATAATGATTATTTATATTTATATTTCTATGAATTGAAACACCAGGGGTGTCAAGTGCCGACCGGTGCATTGTCGAAATCAATAGACCCTTCTTGATAAACCCCACATTGTAGTCTCTTGAGAAAACCTCGGCAGGTAGTTCATTTTACAATGTAAGTGTCGGCGGGAGGAAGCTCCTCTGAATCAGCTCTGTCCGAGTACAGTTTCAGTGGTTACAGTGCATTGAAAATTTAAAATAGAAGTAGCTTAGGTTACTCCTTATAAAATTAGCTGTCTGCTTTCGTCAAAAAGCACAAATACACAGACAAATATTTTTTTAAATTAGTTATTTATAAAAGAACTATATGTTTCGTTTGTTAAGTTTTATATGCATTTAGTTAAAAGTTGTTAATTTGAAATCACAAACAAACACTTCAATTTAATTTATTTGTAATAGGTAAACAAATTATAAAAGAAAGAAAAAGTTTTTGGCACTAGAACTCAGCGCTATTTGCAATTGGCAAAGGAAGTATACAACTTTGGAACTTTCATAAGGCAACTACTATATATTCATACTTTACTCATTCTAAATGACCTTTTTATTAGACAATAAATTATTTAAATTTAAATGATACATTTTTATTTGTTTCCTAATAAAATCAAATAAAAATAATTTCTTTATGTAGAACATTTTAACCGCTAGCTCGTCAAGTGTTTTGTATTAATATTATCCTTACTGTCCAATTCAGTATACATATTCAATTGAGAAGAACTAGCAATAAACTCATATGTTTTTTTTTAAAACCTGTTTATTGCTTACTTATATAGGTATGTATAACATTAATTAAAATGATATATTGTACAATTTATGTAGAGTTTCATTAAAATGTCACAAGGCTTGTGTGGCATTGATTTTTTGATATTCAATATTAAATTCATCTATTTATTTATGACATTCTCCACTTATAAGGGTCATCACTCTCATCTAGTTTGTTTGTTGTCAGTTTTTCTCAACTAAATGAGAAGAACTAGCAGGATATGGCAGATATTTTTATTTAATTACTCATATTTTAAACTCTTTTGTCTATTAGTTTATCCTTATCCGCTACTTTATGATATATAATAGAAACATCTCCACTCCATTATCAACCTTTATTATAATAAAGATTATATTGATGTTTCGGAAATATAAAAAAATACGCACCCGTGTGATACTTTGTATTTATAATTATAGAAATTTGGGGTATTCATCTACATCTACGATTAATTCTACCATTCAATAATAGTCTCAATCAACAAATTTCCACATTTTTATTCTGTTTTCGTTATATTTGTCTAATACGTCTTTACAATTGTCATCGTTTTCAACTATCAAATCAGTCAGTAGCTCTATTTCGAACCAGATATGAACCAGTCTCTCTTCTGTTTGCAGCACACCAAATACATCGTGGCGAGGATGTTTTCTTTGTCTCAAATCGCTGCAGGCCTTAAAAGCCCTAAATGCAAATTTCGAAAATATCTTGCAACGTATATCAGTTTTGCTGAACAAGAATCCCATTTTGTACAACGACGAATTGGAATACTTCTTCCTAAATATTTGCATTATCACCATTTTGTTTCTCGCTTGATAAATAGCTTGTTTCATTAGTTCGAAAAACCTTTTTCGGAGATAAAATGGGTCACGGAACCTGTCGTTTCTGTCATAATTTCCCGGTGGTACCCATCTTTTTCTTCCATCTCGCTCCAAAATTATTTTTGCGTCGCCATTTTCTACTTTTAGAGACATCAACTCGTCTGTTTCGTCTATACCTGTTAGTACGTTTTGTAGTTCATCTTTTAAAGTTTTATTAACACCTAATTCTTTGTTTTGTTTATCGATTCGATTCCATACCACGACAGGACTAAACTTTTTTATGTAATCTTTAAAGTTCCAGAGTTTGCGCTGATTTGTAACATTATTTATTGATTCCTTTAGTGTCATAGAATTGTTCTGAGACGTCGTTACGTTTACTGCGTCCACACCAATTACGATGGTCAAGACTTTAATAAAATCTGTAATATAAATGAATTTATTATTTACAAATTGCGCAAAAGTTTCCTAAGTTAATATTCTGAGAACGAAGAGAAAGGGATTGTTAGTATGTGAACTCTTGACCCCATTGCTAGCAAAGTACCATGTCAGGTTGACGTCCACGCGGTGCCCCCCGGAAACCATCGTGTTAAATTCCAAGTGACGATGGGCTAACTGATTATCCTCTACTGGTGCTCCGCCAGCGTAAACCATTAGCTCAGGCAGGTGCACCTTTTCATTATCACATAAAAAAAATACCTTTTTTTAAGTTGAATATAAAAACTGATTTATCATTTATAACAAAACACTTACAAATATAACTTATCAACATATTTAATGTAATCCTTTGATGATGAATACAAAATAACTACGGAAAACAGTTGTGTTTTTATTGCAATCTTTGTTATTAGACGCGTAATTCCATTTCATTTACTTACAATTATAAACGGTGTAGTGAAACTGCGACAATATTTATACTTAAATGGTAGAGTAAGTACGCTGTATGACTACGCGTAGATGTCAACACGACGGACAAAGAAAAAAAATCCCATACGTCTGTAATAATAAATAAATAAATAACTCGGTGGTGTAGCGGTCTAGCACACCGCTTTACGACCGATGGTCGCGGGTTCGATTCCTCGCACGGCACAAACATTTATATTAATGAGTATGATTGTTTGTATCGGTCTGGGTGTTTTCTATTTATAATACGTATGTATTTACAAAAAATATCTATGTATATGTATCAGCTATCTAGTATCCATAATATCTCCATCTAGTAGCGATAATTAAAAAAAAAACTACTGAACGGATTTCGATGTGGTTTTCATTTCTCGTAACAAAACTTTAGTTAAAAAGTTGAATTAGAAACCTTATTTTTGAAGTTGGTTAAGAAAGAGTCGCTATACGATCTCTCTATCGCAATCGAATAGACATTAACCCTTTGTGATCGATAGTAGGTAATAGTTGAATAATTCGTCACACGCCAACCGAACCGCGGCGAGCGGATGATCTCATATTTTATTTGAACTAAAAGAAAAGTTGGTCAAACATAGTCCTCGCCCGGCGATATACTTGCACTCTTCCCGCAAAGCCTACTCGGCAATCACCCGTCTCTTTCTAGTGCACCCTGAAATGTATCAAAGATTATATGGTTGAACTGAAACTTGCGGATTTTACCTACACTGTGCAATTTTGTTACAATACCGACTGTACAGAGTAGTCTTAAACGTATAGAAGAAACTGTAACTGTAAATTAAGATGTCGTCAATTTTACTGTAGTATTATATATAATAAGAGTAATAATAATAAATTAAAGAATTTGAATTAAGAGGACGAATTCGAACTCTTCTTGATGAGGAACTTAGAAGTTATAATATTTATTCATAATTGGACTCTTTATTCATAATTGGTATTCTTAAGGTTTAGTGTCGTAATTTATATATTCATTTATTTATTTAAAAAAAGCGTAAATATTGATTATACATTGGGGATCCACTAAAGAATTGCCAGATGATATTAATTGTTACAGATTTTGTAATTATAAACTTTCATGATGGACTACTGGCCGAAGCGAGTTTGTACCGGTGCTACCGAGTAGTGGCATAGTAGTAGTAGACACATAGTCTAAGTTTTATTATTTTGTTTATGTTAGTCCTTAAAGTATATATAATATGAGCCAATATTGTTACATAATAATATAAAGTTGTCTGAATAAATAAATAAAAAAAAATTTGGTTTGTTATATTGATTGCGTGCACTTTAAAGTATTCAAACTCCATTTTTCCAGTATAAAATAACTTAGAACTATTAAGGTATAACAAAACATCACGTTAGTAAATAACAAAATATGCAGAAAGTAACAAAAACTGAAGTCTAGAATTTTTGCCATTCTGCGCAATCGCTCCCAATGCTCTATGGCCTATAGTATTGGAGTGTAGGGGTTTCTACCCCTCAGTATAACAAGGTGCGTTCACGTGATAGGACGTGCGACTTCGTCCGCTTAAATTACAAACACGAGAAAAATGTAGCCGAAATGTATAAACTGTATCACGCGATAACGCAACGCACGCGATGGTTGCAGATTAAAAATATTTGAAGTGTAATAATATGACGTTATATTATACATTAGTTACTGTAGAAAAGTTTCAGTTCTGTGCCCGTGCTGTGTAAATATAGTTGGTGGTAGAAAACACTGTTTTGTGTAAGCTTTCAAACTGTAATTACAAGTGAGTACGCTTCCTTTCATTAGTCTTCGAGCTCGAATACTTAATTTCACAGTCAGCTCTAATTTACTGTCTATTTATAATGTTTCTTACTTATTAGTTTTAAATATATACAATTTGTATTTTATATATTTTGCTTATTTCATTATTAGGTACCGTGTTTCTTTCACAGTAAGAATAAGTATTGCAAAAGATAAAAAAATTGTTGTATTACAACACATAAGTACTTTAGTCGTACAAAAGTTGTTGTTAAAGGACTTACATTGTCCTTTTATTCATAAACTTCATTACACTAAATCAGAGTTATTGCCTAAAAGAAGATATAAAGTATTACATTATTTAGATATAACTTATTGCTATTTTTTAAATGTTAGGATTTTTTTATAAATGGTATGATAATGCCGGTCCTGTCATAGGTACCTTATTCCTAGTTTTATTGTTTACTGTAGGTATAATGAAAATTTTTATTTTAGGGACGATATAGGATCAGACGAAATAAACTTGCATTCTCTTGATATAACTTATTGTTCTTTTTTTAAGTCTTTGATTGTTATATGGACTTTTTTTTATAAATAATATTACAATGTCCCGCCCTACCATACTAGTCTCATGGTCTACTGTATAATGAAAATAAAAGTATTGCTGGCGACGATACAGAAGCAGATAATATACAATGGTATATACCAACATAAAGATGATTTCAATCCAATTTTTTTTTATTATAATATTTCTCTAATATTATTAATAATAATATCTAATATTATTATAATAATAATACTCCTTTAGATACGTCTCTGATCATTGCTTTTTCTTCTATAATCAGGTTTATTTCTAAGCACGATGTATAAATGTATATTCATGCTCATTATTGATGTCCAAACTAGGAATAGAAGAACAATACCAGTGGAATATTAAGAGGAAATAACATAGTTTTTTTTATAATAAGATTGTAACAAATATTTGCTCGATCTGAAATCAAATCCAATCCAATGAAGTAGTACATTCTCAACATCATCACAACAATCTACTGAATATGAATTCTCAGAAAAGGACATCTCTGAAGACAGCCGTTTTTATATATTTATAATGTCACTTTGTTACTTTCCTTCATGAACGTTAGTAGTTTTGAGTGCTCCTTGTTATTTATTGATTAAGTACTAAACTGTGACTCAACTAATACTATTACTTTGGAGGGTATTTCTCTAACTAGTTTCTTATAGTCACCCTCTAAGAATTTGCGTTTCTATTTGGTCTCTAGTTGTTGAATAATATCCAGTATTCAATGTAAAATCGTGATGATCTGGTGTTAATGAGACTAATGATTTTGTACATATAGTAGACATATAGTCTAGCTACTATGATAGCTTATTAATATAAACTCCAACCTATAAAATTCAATGTAATAGTAATATCTCAAGACAATTCGCACAGCGCCATCTAGTCCCAAGCTAAGGAGCTTGTGTTATGTGTACTAGACAACTGATATACTTCGATACATTTTTTGTACATACGTACTTAATGTACATAGAGACCTACCCAGACCCATACAATTAAGTATAGCATCTTCTGACTGACAAAAACAAATGTTTGTGCCGCCAGAAGAATCAAACCGCGACAATTTAGTTTATTTTATTTAACCATTTTTTTTAGGAAGTAAGGTGGTGTGCCCGCCACCACTACACGACCGAAACCTTATACGGGGCCACTGAGTTTTCAATGAAGGTTTATTTAAATAAAATGCAGTATTAATATTATAAACACGAAAGTTTTTAAATATGGATGTTTGTAAGTCTTTCACGCAAAAACTAGTGACCGGATTTTGATGAAACACCAAGACTGAGAAAAAACATATATTCGTCGAGGGTTTTCACCCCCATTATTCCCTTACTATAAGGGTTAAGGGTTGATTGAGTGTATGGCTATTTTAGATGAAAAACAATAAATAAAAGATGTGAGTGCAATTTTCATATGCTTAACAGGCTAGACTCTTTATACATTGAATTTTAACGCGCGTGAAACCGCGGGCACAGCTAGTAGTATATATATTTGTCAAACTAGAACGCATTGATAGCCAGAGAAATTGGATAAGCACCTGGCACCGCAATCCGGGCAGACAATACCGGAGCAATTTAGATTAATTGGTTTTGTAACTTGACCACACAGAGGCTTCACGATCCAGTCTACGTAAACGAAATATATTTGACCACTCTATGCATAGTAGTTGTCTTTTTCTAAGTATAGAGAAGAGACAAACAGATAGGTTTGTTTTGTTTATATACATGGTTAATCAAGTTTCATTATATATACATTTTATTTAATATATATACATGATTTTTATATTGTAACGTTGTTGAAAAGCACTGAATAAATATTTTTTTCTTTCTTTCAGACATTTTAGGCACTTATGAACGTACATTTTTTTGTATTAATATTTTTTCTCTAGCGTCCAATTCAGTATATAAATTCAATTTAGAAGAACAGGAGATAAGACACAAACAGACAGACATTTTAGGCATTTATGAACATCAATTTTTGTATTTATTATTTGTCCTTACCGTCCAGTTGGGTATATAGATTCAATTGAGAACAACTGGCAAGAAACTCAATTGAATTTCTTTTTTAGCATATAAATTAACAGCCCTTATTATCGTAATCGCTGACCATCGCATATATACATGGACATGCGTTGGTATTGTTTTTTTAAATGAGCTACAATATGTGATCCAATTTGGGAGACAATTTTGGCTTCAATTTTTCGGGTAAACTGTTTGATAATAGAAAAAAACACTCATGTATTGTCATTCCGGAAGACCAAGATGTCATGCCTCTTTTCCGGTAATATTACTGCTGAATCTGCAAACTACTGCCGCAATATAGCTACAAAACAAGCTGCTTGGTGGTTGACATAGGTGGACAGAGAAACACACGCAAGGTATTGGGCAGTACACTAAACCCAATATATATAATAATAGATATTTAATTATTAGGTTCGTAGATAGGGCATCAATAAGAAGAAAATAAAATATGTTAATACATTCACAATGAATTCTAAATTTACAGTCCTTTATTTCCTAATGTTTTTGAGATGACAAGGAACGTAAAATTCAAATTTATATTTTCCATATATGAACTAAAGAATTATTAACACAAGGGACTTTTTACAACTAGGATTTGATTTTATTTGTTTGTTTTTTTTTGATATGGTCGTGACTCTATGAGGTAAAAATATTAAACACTACATCAGTAATAATCTAATAATAAACTTATGCTGGAGACACAGAAAATTTACCGTTGTAAGTTCCTATAGATAGGATAGTTAGATGTCTTACGAAACAGAATCTTATAAATATTGTCCCATTTTTAGTATGTTTCTCATTTTATTTCTTCTAAAACACAATGGTTTTTGATACGATTTTATTTATATCAATTTATTTATTTAATTTCAACGCACAAGAATAAAGTGTACATATAGCGGACTTAACAACATGCGGCGTTATGTACCAGGCAATCATGAGTGGTGCAGAGAAAGATTGTTGGCGGGGTATTAATATAAATAAAAAATGTCAAAGAAATATATAAGGCAGAATATATATAAATTTGTATAAAAATAATATATACACAGATAACTACTTAATTATTTGATAATCAAATTGTAACTATTACTTATTTGTACAGTATTTTTCACTACGACTTCGTTAGTTTCAACCAGATTTATATTTATTTGTATATATTCATGTAATATATTATTGTATCTCTTAGGTATATATTATATTTTGTTGCGTTTTGTTTATCGTTTATTATAATTGCACCGCGAACAAATATTCTCTGCACCACTTATGCTTGACTGGTAGAAAATGCCTGGTGTTAAGTCCGCCAAATATACTGCAATATTTTGTACTTTGTGCATTGAAGTTAAATAAATTTATATGTATAATACATGAATATATGACCTCTATTACATAGACTGTCTACCCGTACGAAGCTGGATTTGTCGTTATTACGATTTATGGCGAATAATTCAGACTACAGTTAACACTCCGCATAATTTTCAGTTACCAGGAAATTAGAACGTAATATATAGTCGCCTGTGAATATATTAGTTAATGGATTGTACATTGAAATAATTCTAAAGGTATGACGTAATCAATACGTGTTACTGCTGCGCTCCCAGGAGGCATCGCCCGGAATATTACGAATGTCGAGTTGTTTGGAATATAGAAGTTAAGATCGCTAATGGATATTACTCGCTATTATAAAATTATTTCACGTTGTATTTAGTACCTTCACTTAAGTTTCTGGTCTCTAAACACGCTATAGAGTTAATACTTTTATTTGTATATAGATTTTGAGATATCTGTTCAAAAAGCCTCTAATCTCTGTTCAAAAGCTAACACTAAAAAACAAATTTACTTAATAATTTGACGACCAAGGTGGTCTAGCGGTCTAGCACACCGCTTTACGTCCGATGGTTCCGGGTTCGATTCCTCGCACGGCACAAACATTTGCATTCATGAGTATGATTGTTTGTATCGGTTTGGCTGTTTTCACATATAATATGTATGTATTTACAAAAAAAAATATCTATGTACTTATATCAGTTATCTAGTAATTAGTTAGTAATTAGGTTGCATTTTTTATTTGATCCAGCTCTATAAGTATTTATCAAATGAATATAATTCATTATATTAAAAAAATAACTGACAATGTTTTGTGCCGTTACTCTTTATTAAAATAATCTTATACGTATTTATAATAAGACAAATTGTTAAATAATGTAGGTAGTTTTTCTTTTATTATTTGATTTTTGAGTAGTTGTTATCTGGTAGTTGATATAAAACATAATCTCGTTACTTGGCAAACGCGAACTTGTTCAAAACAAAAATAAAAATCTCGTGTTTTGAAGTGTATTAGTGTATGTCTTGTACATTCCATGATACGTCAGTGAAATGCAGAAGAATATGGAAGCAAAAACAAGGTATTTGACTGACACCTAACTTATAACTAAATATGTACTTTTTCTAAC